GTGTTCAATGTTGTTGCTGACAAATATCAATGAATATTTAAGTAATTCACTTTACTGGTTAAACCTATTAATGGTACTTACAGCATTTTCGAAAAGTATTGACTACAAAAATACCTTTAAATCACAACAGTTACAAACTATAATGACAAAAATAAATTTCAAGATTTAAAGATGAAGATACCTCATACTAAGTTTGTTTTGTAATCTGAATGAATAACAAATTATACTAATATGGAGTTCAAAAATGAATATAAGTCAATTCTATTACGAATCAGATAAGTCTTTTCTTTAAATTATATGCTTCTCCCACAAACGAAGTCATTACCATTCTTGACGTTATCCTCCTCCTCTCAATGCTACGTGCACGCAACTGTTGTGCTTCTGAAGAACTAGAAAAACTGACGGACTTCATTCAGGAAATTAGCCTATAACTAAAAAATCCCGACACTCGCCATCAAATAACGAAATTTGTATTAAAAGAAAAAAGACGCTTACCTCATCTCAACCTACACGTTACTATCTGTGAAATTCAACATGAACAGTGTGAAAAATTGTGATTTCAAATTTGAAACAAAAATTTATGAACTTCCTGCATTGCAATAATAGTCAAACCATAAAAGTGTAGATATTACAGCTACTATTCACCATAGATTGAACATGTCTAATATATGAATGAATTAATCACTCCAGTTACTAACTCAATTATTACAGTTGTAAATACGCAAATATCCCAAAACCTTTTACTGGACAATTGGAAGAATGCACAGCCAAATTCAGTGGTCAATTAAAAAAATAATAAACAGCAGAAAGAATAGCAAAAATATTTTAATGAAGACTACACAAGCAAGCAGTGATAGTAACAAATGAATCTAACAATTTCTTGTGTTGCAGTACTACATCTCATACTAGATGTTAATTACGTGCAATATTTTCAGTAATAACGAAGTCTCTCTTTTCCATTATTTCAAAAAAAAGAAACAACGCTGTAGTAAGCACTAGTGATTGCTTGGCTTTTTCACTGCTTACTTGTATACAATAGAGACATTATAAATTCTTGATGAATCCCTTCATTTAAAAAAATCATTCTTTGCTACATAGAGATGGCAACTCTGCACTAATTTCTGCCATCAGGAAAAGAAAACCAGGTAACAATGCTACATTTGAAAACAATGACAGTAACATGGATCATGGCATCAAAAAGGACTTCCTAAAGGGTAATTCATTAAAATCGAGATCATTCCTTTATGAAATGCCATTTATCAAGCTCTTCTTTTGGAATATTCTTTTCATTTCCATGCTGTGGCTGTTTCGATACAATTCCACACCAAGCATTCTCATCCGCTGGATATGCAGCTCCTGAACATGTTCTTGTTTCGGTATTCAGCAATGGTGATTGCTGTTTCATGAGTTGCTTCCAAAATTTGTGAGTTTCTTGGACAATATCTATAAATCAAGTAATAATTATTCTACACGTCTGCTCCGACTGCTCAAAACAGACAGTAAACAAGAAGTCATAATAAAATGCGGAAAATATATAGTACCGTGAGCAAAATCTGCATCCTTGAACAAACCATCGAAGCCAAACTGATTCGGTGGTTTCCCTGTGGGAATTTTGTAATTTCGGAACCACTCATAACTTGCTTTTAATAGACCCGGAAAGTGTTTTTCCACATCCCCAATGCAGTTAACCTCATTTGCCATTTTATCTTTCGAATCAATTGCAACTATCTTCCAATCTGTCTCACCTTCATCAATCAGTGCAATGATACCAAGAATCTTAACTTGTATAACGGCACCTCGGTGATGAATTTTGGAACCAATTTCAAATACATCAATTGGATCATTATCACCACATGCTTCGGTAACCGGATCAATATGGCTGGGATCTTCCCATGTTTGCGGGATAGCGCCATAATTCCAAATATATCCTTTGAAAGGAAAAATATTATCTACAAACCGAGGCAAGCCTTTCTTGACATCCTGCTTAATTGGGGACATTGACTCTTTAGTTGCCATTTCCATCTTAGCATTAGTCCATCTAGGAATTTCAACAACCATGTTGTAAATCTTTTTTGATCTGTCGGCGAAAAGCGGTATATCATGCCAAGGTGAAATGTAAGATCCATTTTCTTTAAAATATATTCTGTAATCCAAACCATATAGACAGCCAAATTCTTCAGTGGTATACTTAGTAGAATGCATAGATAGTTCTTGACAATAATTTAGTGAATGAAAAGTCGATGATGCTATACCCCTTGTTAGACGGCCTAATATGCTGACGAAAATAAATCTCATACACCAATGTAAAGACAATAGTCGCAGTAATCGACGAATTTCGAGAACCTTGAAGATAAAAAACCTGAAGCACATTCATAAAATAATAATAAATAATCATCACGAACGACTTCAATATACGATTTGTTGAACCAAACAGTTTATACATTATTCAATACGTCGCAAAGAGTTTTATAACTGATCTTTCTCCTCGTAACTGCTATTTTAAATTGCAAATTTCAGAGACATAATGGCCGAATCTAATGAAACATAACCAGACTTGTTCATGAAAAACCGCATAGTGTCGATATTCGAGATAATGTATTATAAAAGCAATCCAAAACAAGGAGCATACTTTTCAAAACGACATTTAATCTTAATGCTATACTCTTCTTTGAATATCTTCACCATATAAACTGCTATTTACAAACCTGCAAGCTATTAGCGGAGAACTTTAGACAGTAAAATTAGACATTCTAAATATATAAGTTATTTTAGACCACTGTATGAAATTTAACAGACTCACAAATTCAACTTTTGCACACTCATCATATTTTATTTTTGAAGAACAAAAAGACGCGATTTGTGCAAAAATAATAAAACAGCCAGTAACACATAAATTTTCTTTATTGAGCCGGTGCATCTCTGACAACTTTGTATAAACCATTTGTGCAAGATAGTAAATTTAACTTGACTTTTCTTTGCAAAAATGCAACCACATCTTCCAAAGTAGGCCCATGTTGACCTGGACTTGCAAACATTCTGCAAAATGCCAGTTTTGAAAAAACATCAATCTAATAAACATGTAGTTATGTCATTCTAAAAACTTTATTGAGGTATGAAAAGCTTAAAAATTTAGGTGATTAATCACTTCTAACAGTAACAGATCAGATCATTCTGCTATCTTGAAAGGATCCATTGCTAAATATAATATAAGTAGATAATATCGACTAATATGCAATAAAACAAATATTCCCATCAACACAGTATTTAATTATGCGCACTAATAGAAAAACTGAAAACCTGAAAATAGTGTGAAGTCGTTCTGCCTTGACGGGCTCTTGATTGGTAATGAAACTCTTCGTGTAAGTCCAGTATTGCTCTAATGCATCAACAGCTTCCGTATCTTCATTTTTTTCCTCGTCTGATATATTTTCTTCCGTATCATGTTCAGCTTGTAAACGGTACATTTTTGATGTTCCACTTGCAAGATTCCATGTTTTAGCTTCACCTTCTCCCTACATTCACAAAGAACTACGAATTTCGAGCACTTTTACTTTACATATTATACGGAAAACTGATGTCTTTCCAAAGAGATTCTCATATTAAATCATTCATAATCACTTACTGTAATCACCAGCTAATCAAAAACTTATAAATTGAGCAACGGCGAAAAATTGAGATTTTTCAGTTGGGCAGAATTTCACTTAAGCATTTAATCAATGTATTCTATAATAGCAATAAACTGCCTTAATCTGAGGCTGCTTGTTGCTAATATAAAATACAATGATTAATGCTGCAAAAAACCATCACTTACTACAAAAGCATATACCACTCCACTGTTCTGCCACCATTCCAATCTCTTCTTAACATTCCGCTTGTCCATTTTCAGCTCAACGGATATTTCATCAATAGTCCAGGATTCTAGAAATGCCTTCATTACTTTAATTTTTTTAATTCGGTAATCAATCTCATATTGGACTTTTTCGAAATGTTAAAAATTATTTTTGAAAAAATATGGCTTTTAAATAGAGAAGAGAAAAGATCATTTGGAAATTAGAGTTCAACAAGTGTTCAGTGATTCCATTTATTTTGAAATCAACTTTTTTATTTTGTAGTTTCTTCATAATAGTACAAATGACCAACCTTTTTTCGTAAACAGCGATAAAACTGCAGCATGTGCTGGGGACACACTAACTACTACTTTTACATTATCTAATTCTATTTCCAATTCAATCAAACCAACAGAACTCATCCATTCTAGCTTTCGTGATCCTTTATGAGCTTCGAATCCTCGAGCATACTCATTTAGTCCACAAGTCAATTCCGATGGCATCTATAAAAATATTTTTGATTTAGAATCAGCTTATTTTCTGAATTAAAGAAATGAAATGCTTACCACAAACTTTTCATTTTCGATCTTTGGCCAGAAAAAAGATGATATGATTCGTGCACTTATTGGAAAGGGCTGAAATTTAATTTAAAAGTTTAGCACAAAAAATATATGCAAAAGTCACAGTTACAAAAAAATACTCAGCAATTTTACTTAGACTATCAAACTTTGAGAACTTCATCCTTAACAATCATTCCTTATTTGAAATTAATGATTTCTTAAATTTTGAACTTTAGAAATTGTTAATTTACTAATGAATGCTCTACTAAGCGATCCATCTGCTCCGAATCACGCATATCTTTCAACATTACTTCGCACTGCTGTAATTCTCCTTCACTAAAACGCAGCTTCAAAAGCTCCAAGTAGCGTTGCTCAAATTGCGGCTGAAATTCTGAGTTGTTAATGACAGATTTGTCAGTAACATATTTCCAAATATTATCAGACTACAAATAACATACCAGCAAATTTCTCCGGAAATCCTTCCCAGCATTTTATCAAGTTCTGAGTGAAAAGTTTTTTCCGCCAAAAAAAATATGGAAAGGATATTTTATTTCGAATAAAAATTTGAGAATTTCAAAAACGCTTAAAAAATTCACATCTCTATTCCATGACTTCGTAAGTCGCTCAGCAAGCAGTTCACGATATTCCTTCACGAAAATTTCTTTGCTTCCATAAACTGATACTAGCATGTTAAAAACATCAGCGTTTTGTCGATAACGACGGCTCTGAGAAGGGTTTGCATCAGGTGGATCAGGTAGCCACTTCATCCAACCGCAATCTGATTTTATTGAAGTAAACAACGGTTTTTGATCTGGGATTTCATGAATACAATCCAATATTTAATAACACATCAATTTCATATAACTGTATGAAACTATTTATTTTTCTTTCATGCATCTCACAGTAGAATGAAAATGAAACTTTCTCCATCGTTTCAAATGTTTGTCACAACAATGTTAAATTTTTTTAAAAAAACATTGTTTTGCAAATATTTGCATTTAATGAATAGCTGATTACCCGTTGATTCTTCTGAACCCGGCACAAGTTCATCATTTACTCCCATCAACTCTTCTTCGTCTAGGAAAGCCGTTCTTCTCATTGCCAATTGCTCACTAAGTTCTTCTCTTTTCTCACCAGTTATGTAAGTTATTATACATCGAACTGTATCGGGTCTTTGCCTGAATCAAAACAGACATGACTTCGACATGCACAGCATAGACGTATTCCTAAACAAAGATCTCTATTCTCGTATGTTCAGGTAGAAACCCATGGAATATTCAATACTGCATATATAAAATTCAGAATTATGCAACTTAACATTGAAATATTTTCAATAATCAATAGACTTACTTAATATACTGTCTTATAATAGAACATATATGTTGCATAATTACACAACTTGGATCGAGAAGACGTAAGCATTCTACTGCGCTAGCGTATCCTTCTAATATTTCGGTAGTTCCAACGCCTTAACAGTCATTGATTTATTTCGCATTAATGACTTCAAATATCACTTAAAACAAGCAACGTTAAATGCATAGTTCTGCACATAATTACTGAAATAATGCAGCTAGTACACACCAACTTGCAACAATTTTTCCTCTACATCTTTTGTCAAATTATCCATTAATAATTTTCGTCCAAAACCATCATTATTATTCATACAATAACGCAAATCATCGATCACCCCAGTAGAATCCGGATATTCAATAATTACAAGATCATAAATCTAGAACATGTAGCTTGAAGATCTTTATCACATAAATGCGGAATATATTTGAAATTAAATAAAAATTTCCGTGAAATTTTTTTCGTAATCACACTTGATGCGCGGTCGATAAATTTGTTGTTACAAACTTAAATATACCCTTTCAGAAAGCGCAATGACGAAGCTTTTTTCCATCATTTGTCTAAGTGTTGATTCTGCAGGCTTTAGTTTTTCTAATCCTATTTTCACAGTCCAATCAGCAACGCGTCCACACCGCTGAAAACTTTTTTGAGATTAGTTTCCTCTAATTCACTAGTTTTCAGTTGCTGCTACATTTTCATGTTTCATATACCACATCATCTTATTACACTCCACTTTCATTCGTGAGGTTCATTACATGATTTTCGAACAAAAGTTTTTTTGTTTCATTCATAATAACGACTAAATTTATCAGAAAACTTCAAAGTTCTCAAAGGAAATAAGAACTAAACATTTTGAAATACTTCATAAACTGAATAAGATATATTAGTAGAATAAAAATAAATCAAACGACAGTGAGAATATGCAATTTTTTAATGCAATTATGCAGATAGTTCATTAATCCATGCAATCTACTTAAATCAAATTAATTTAATGGTTTTAGTAAGTTATTATAATTTACCACTGCATTTTCAGCCAGAACTATTTTTCCTGTTCGTGCTGAACATTTTCGTTTAACTATGGAAATAATTATTTCCCAAACTGCCTGATTATGAGCTTGAGAAACTACTGACATTGAATCGAAACCATCAGTATCTGTTCTGCAATGCGTTTATATTACTTCCATTTATAATAAAATGTATATTTTTTAAACACTCACGACTTTATACTATCAAAAAGTAAACAAAAACATTTTAAATTTCTAAAATTCATGAATTCCTGAGTCACTGCTCTGGAAATAGAGTATTCTATCAAATTTATAGACCACATTAAAACGTATATCAGATGACTCAGAAATTGTTATGAATTTTGCAATTTTTGAACACAGTGAACAAAATAGTTTGCAAAAGAATAACAAGTTTATTATTTTAATGGATATTACTGACGTAAGTAAACAATAAAACTAACAAGTGTATCACTGTATCTCGAAGATAATTGAGTAAAGTCTCACGCCAAGCTGATCCCTCACTCTCCTTTGCTCTCCAGGTTTCATATAAAAGAAAGCTGACTTTAAACATATTGTTTACCACAGTTGCAAACTTTTTCTCCAGCTGAAAAAATTTATAAATGAAACTGCAAAGTCTGATGACTTAATTGAGACTGCATAGTGTATAAATTCAATTTATTTACAAAAAATATTCGCATAAAATATATCAAAGATTGAATCAAAAAACTTTAAAATACTTTTGAGCTTCTATGATATTTATTACACCAAGCGATATGAAGGTAAAAATAAACAATCAAATAATATGTTACAATAGAAATTACACAACTTGACGAATCCCAATTTTTGCACGGTCAAATATCCTACTACAATTTCATCCAGCGGTATAGCTTTAGGTTTTTGAAACTTTTAATAACAAAAAGAAGATTTGAATATACGAAATATAACACACAATACACGATATATAAATTAAGAATCCTTGATTGTATCTTACAATTTATGTCTAAAAGAACATAAACAATGACTCATATGTGCTCGCAAAATTTAATTTATTTCCAATACTCTACTAAAAGAGCAAGTAGTCATCGAGAAAAAAATTCCACAAACACATAAACCAACAATTAGAACTAACGTCAGATTTGAAGAGTAGGTTTCCACTGAGGCGTAAAATTCTTGGTCTCAAAAATCGAATATTAACTTCATTATTTTCCAAACTTTCAGCTATTTTCTGAAAAAATAAACACAAATACTTATGAATTTGAATAAAAATAATCTTTACGAATGTTCTGACAAAAATTGCAAAACTCATAACAACTTCCATGTTTCAACTGCACTTTATGAAATTTGATTGAAAAAATTAGTTGTGTTCAAATAATAGCAATAACAAAAAAAAAATAAGCTGATGCTATAAGAGAAGCAAACTTTTAAACCTAATTCTATTTTTTTAATGAAGAAAAGATGCAATTACTTTATCAATGACATTTTCAATAGAAGTTACGGCTTCATGCACAGCGCTTATTACATAATAACTTGGAAGTAATAACATTTCTTCAAGAGATCGACGAAAACGTGGAAGAATAGCATCTTTTACAAATCTTCTAAAAATTCGTTTAAACATCATTACACGCAGTTTACTAACAAGTTAGAAAACAGACAAGATTATTGCTTAATTTTTATTTCTTCTAACATTTTGATAATGCTTGAATGATATGAAAATAGACTGAATACTTCTTAAATAATAATCTACATTCAAATGATCTTTCACGACTGTTACTGCAAGTTCTTGAATTCTAGCTATTAAAAATCGAAAACATCTTTCGCGGCAAAAACTGCTCATATTTTTCTCTCACCAAAAATTTAGTTACATTGCTATCTTCAAAAACGAAAAAATTGACTATACTGTGTAATTAAATAGTGAAAAGACGAACACTAAACATCTCGTTCATCAACTTAATAACACCTTGTGAATGAAAACAAAACTTCAAGAAAATTACCTGCTGATATCGTAGCCTTTCCTAATATCTTCATTAAAGCATGATGCCATGCTGAAAACACTGAAAGCATAACACCATTGAATAAATAACTTAAAAAATAAGAAGATAAGTTGATGCCATAGCAACTAATTCCCGATTATATTCCCTTGACATAATTTACATATAATGTTCAACGAACAGACATTTCAATCAACTACACTTTACAAATTATTATCATTTACTCCACTCTTCTACATCTGTTATAGTCACAGGAATGCAAATTCAATAAAATTATTACTTTACAAGCAGTAAAACATTGGTTTAATATGGAAATTTTGATTCAAATATGGTTTCCTTCTTATTTCAGTTCTTAACCGATTCAAATAGCAAAACTTCGGATATATCATACTGTTTACCATATTTCTTCCAGTTACAGCAGTTCATGCGAAGCGAAGAATAAAACTGCAATTTTAAAAGCAGTAAGCATTGAAGAGAATACTAAAGCAGTTTCATACAACAATTTGCTGTCATATTTATTTACACGTTCATTACAAAATCAACATAAATAATTCATATGCGAATATTTCCCAAGCGTGTTAGTTCACGACCATATTTTTCATATAACTCGCCTTCTTTCTGAAAGGCTATATTCTCAAATAAAATATTTGTTTGATGCTGTAAACCCCGCTGATCATTCGAATATATTTTCATCAAAGCAGCAATGAAATTCATATAAACTCGAAACACAGCTAGAATTTGATATCTAATACTTCTGTAATGGCTGTAATAAAGCTTCAATTTCATTACTATAATAAATACATTTAAAAAACAACATTACTGACTTTTAGATAGAGCAGTCAAATGATACTCTCAAAAAAAGTGGAATTTAATTCTTTTTCCGCTGCTATTTGTTTCTTGAAAGAAAAATATGAAATAATCATAAGGAACCTTAAACGCTGAACTAGGTTCTCTCATTGTCAGCGCAATCCTTCGACCTCTGATATGTTCTGGAAAAACAGCGTGTTTCCACGAATACCGAATTTCGCCGGTCATACACACTATACTTCTACAAAAATAATTGTGATCATTTTTTCAAGAAATGCAGTACAAAAAAATTTTTGTTGATATGAAAATTATTCATTCAGCATAACATAATGAAGAAAAAACTAAGAATTTAGAAAATCCAGTCGAATTCGAAAAAGTTAATTTAGATTTTATAAAAATTCGGACTCTACAGATATTATAGATTGACAGACTTTAAATAACCGTTCTCCTCACTTTAGTATCGCTTTTAAACATCTCTTCAAAATTTCTGTGCAACTGATTCAATGTCACAGAACTTATAAATTATTCGATATATCAGCATTTATATCACTAATGAAGATGAAGCTTGAAAATACCTTCTTGGCACAGGCACATAAACAATAACATTCTTATCCTCATGTGCATATGTCAACACGGAATTGCTTAAGAGATTCAAGCTATAAAAATGCAGATGAAATAGCAAATTTAATATTAAAAAAAAGTCTTTATGCACGTAGAAAAAAATAAATGTTTTCTTGTTCCTTCTTTTTTTTAAAAAAGAACTTTTTAGGAGTCAAAACAATTCAATAATAAAACTTGACTGAAAAGTATAAACTAACCTAATCAGACGGTCACCCCAAATCCAAGTATCATCGCAGTGCATCTCAATAGTCGACCATCGACTATCGTCATATTCCAAATTGCATAACTCGAGTGGTTGATAAGAACCCAACAGATCGTGAGATACGGCATTCATTTTGTTCAATATTGTGTCAACATACACTGGCATACCCACAAATCGATCAATTTTAATTTTTTTATGTTTGAAATTGACACGAGGGCCATAATCCTATAAAAGTGAGGTTGAACAAAAATGCCATTTCGTTAGTAGAATTGAACAGATCCGACCAATTATCAAACCAATCTAGCTGAAATGTCAAGAAACTCTATTTCTTATAATTCATCAAGAACTGTTTTAGTTACACAACAATTCTGCTAAATTTGGAAACTCTTGTTGTTTATACATTCATTTTTCTGACAAAAGTTAAAAGCATTAACTTTTGTATCACTTTCAATCATAAATTATTGTTTAGTTATCACGGTTGACAATTCTGAAACATACGGCAAACCTGTTTTCGACGGCCCGATTGTGAAAGAACCCATTCAGTTTTATCAATTGTTTGGACAAGATCCATTTCCTCTTCTTCATTTAAAAAATCCAACACGATATGTAAACCAGAAATGACTAAACTATCCTAGAATGATATTCCCACAAGCAAACAAACAGAAATCACTTTCTTAGCAATAACATAGCACATATTAGGGAAGTCAAGGGTTGAATGTCGTTTAATTTTCTTACAAACTCTCAAATTTAGAATCAGAGCGTAGTTTGCTAAGAGTTAAGATAGAAGATTTCAAAGTTTTAAATTAAGAATTGCCTGCGTAATGTCATTTACGTCATAGTTTTTAACTGCTCATATTTTTTCACATTTCCGATAAAAATTTTTATACAATTCTGCTAGTAGAGTAAACAATAAGATTATCTACTAATGTTATTGGAGAGAAAAACAAATTGAAATGCCTTTCATAACTCAACCTCATCTCAATCAAATACAAAAGTAATTACTTTAGGCAAACTATCAATCCTATTCTTGGCATCAGCAGAATCATGGACATCATCCAGATTTGGACGTTCAGATAATGAATCGTCAAGAATTGCCATACCATGGCGTATCGAATAGATGTATTTTTTATAATGCGCATATGGATATTCTTTTGTCAACGTCAACTTAGAAACTCTAAAATTTGGAATTTTAACGTCACAAATAAAACATCTTCATACTACATAACCATAAATTACCAACCTAAATATAAGAGCAGGTGAACTTTGAATTCTAATTAAAGTGCATAAACATGATACGAGCTTATCTTAATCACGATCTTTAATAGGAAAAATTTCGAAGACTACAAACGTTTGTTTACAAGCGATAACATTTCCTTCGTACATTATGACGTTCAAAATGTTAAATTATATTTTCGAATGAAGAAATCAGAACAGCACATTGAACATGAAAAAGCTGAAAGCAAGGTCGAACAATGAAAGCATTAATAGCAAACTGTTAATTTCATAAATATGACACCAGTAAAACTAACCTTAGTGAATCCTTGCACAATGCACAAAATCTAATTCCTTTGCAACCACATTCAAGAGGTTTCTTTACCATTTCTGTCTTCATCATATGTTAGTAACCTGCATGTTACATTCTAATTCAATTATTAAGTTACATAATAGAAGTTATTACAAATGGCAAATACCTGAAATATTACTTTTCCTGTAAAACCAGTGTCGCAAGCACAACGCAAAGAAATTTATCAATCATGTCATGCAACAATATCATTAGGAGCATAACTACTTTAAAACAATGGAGATGTAAGTCCAAATCTTTCTGTCTCTGTTGAAATGATAAAAACTGACGTGCCACTATGAGTATACACATATACAAATAGGATGTATTCTATTCATTACAAGTCAGATATAATAAACTAAGAACTTTTAAGATGAAGCAGTAGTACTGCCTCTGGCCATCAATTGTCAATATTAACACATAGTAATGCAAATTATGCTGAATCAAAGTCACACTTCGCATGCTTGACAGTTACTCTAAGGTTCGCAAACCGCTTTAGCATACAAACTATTTCGTTGTACTTGTGATGACAAAGAAGTACCCTTATTGTATGCAGGAAATAAGTCCTCAAGCATAGCCATGAAAAACCTAGCTACCGTCATCGAATTGAACCCTTTATCAGCATTACCGATTCCTCATAAAATTTCTTCGGTGACTATTTCTGCCGATATCATCCTTAATCAAGAGACTAGAAAACTTCACCACTCTCAATGGAAGAGATGGAATTAAATGCAAAACATAATCACAAATATTTTATTGGCAGCAAAGGATTAAATTTGTAACTGGAACCACAATTTATACAAATCTCCACTACTTGAGTTTACCACCACATATGAATGTGATGTGAAATTCTCAAATATTATTTTATAATACATTAAAATGCCAGACAGGATCAAATGTTGCATAATTTCATACTCATTACAACGTAGCTTAACTTTCCAAATGTATTTTCCTGCTAAGAGAATTCCTGAAAGCAACGATGACCTAACCACAATACAATTTTACGTTAAAGAGAACGAATAATTTCAGAAATTACTACTCACTAGTTCTGAAAATATGGTATGATAACTATATTAGATTTCACTTATTCCCATTACTTTTTGCGCTTACTATACTTTACAAAACGATGATATTGATGAAGGTATATTCTTCACTACATTCCACAATCAGCGAATTCCTAGAAAAAATATGTAAAATAGAGATAGTTGAAAACATACAAGACGCAATCAGATAAAATAAAAATTGAACTGTAGTTTTTGAATGAAACTAATAATCCAAAAACAACTAACAAGCAAAAAAAAATAAAGAACAACATAAAAACATAATAATGTACACGAAATTTCCATAATTATGGATTGTGTAGGAAAAATTGAGAATTACAGTAATTTTGAAAAATGGTAGATTTGGACCTGCACGATTAAAACAAATTATAAATCAAAGCTTAATCCTAGAAAATACCATTCATTATAATGCTTCTCCTATCAAAAAACCCCTGATGTTTTACTGTACTTGCAACAAACACAAGACATCATACAATTGTCTCACAAAGACAAAGACTCCCAATAATTACTAAAACGATACAAACCAAGAAGACAATAAGTGAGAGTGAACATTATTAATATTAGATACCATAGGATCGATTCCAAGCCTGATATATTCACCGATTCTACGAGAATTCCCGCAAAAAGTTACTAGCGCGTGAAAAAAATTCGAATAAAGGCATTCACATATGAGAATCCCTTTTTTTGGAATCTTCTTTAATTTCTATCCGACGTTTTAAATAGCATGCAGGAATCGAAAATGGTGTATCATTGACTTTTTCGTTCAACCCTGCGCTTTCCAAACGTCTACGTTTCGAAGAACTAGTAGCTGTTGATGTTGACGGAAAATCTTGAAGGGCGTATTCATCGACCTGAAAAAACGTTTCCATGATCTATATATTTTTTAACAAACGTAAACAAAGCAGAATTCTACGGCTCTCGGATTGATACAACGTTCACTGCTTGCTATCAAAAATTCAAGCTAACACTAAAGACTATTAATAACTTCGTACAAAAAAAAACAACCGACCAATGATAACACTGAAAAATATTACAAAGTATCAAATTTAATAAAATGACTGCTAGGATTTAGATTTTACCCCTGATTCTGCAGCAACTTCCTCACTGTGCATTCGGAATACTTCATCAAATATTTGCATTATTTTGAGATCAAATCGTTGTTCCAACGCAGAAGTTGTACGAGTGACTGCTCTATTAACTTCTCTTCGTATTGCTATTTGGAGATCGTACAATAATTGGTCTTTCAAAACACTCATTTCAGGAGTAAGTTCAATTGCTGCACTAGCAGGTTGGATAAAACTGAAACATATAATTTATATCTGATAATATCTTAAGTTTATTTGAGAAGTTGAAGCAATGAAGTCGATAAACGAACCCGTCACAGCTATCAATTTCCTCAAAACGACCCATATCACTACCCTCAGCAACAGTTTGATAACTATTTTCTTCAAGTTCTGCTGCTATAGTAGCCTTTTTTAATAAATCTCTTTGTCGAAAATATGCAGCCTTAACTCTTTCCCATGAAGGGAAAAGTTTTTGCAGCGATCCTTGAACATTCTCATCCCCAGAAAATGATGCTTCTATTTCAGCCATTTTATCTAATCCCTATAAAATCACATACAATCAGCGCTATGACCAAAAATAATCCTACACTAATAGTAATTCTTAAACGAATAAATATAGCAAAAAATGAGTCTTGCTCAAAAACAAATCCGAGAAAGAAATTAATGGAATTTTAGAGAATTCGAAGTAAATTAAACGAACTTCTGAATGAGCCTCTCGAGGATTTTTCTCACCCTTACGGATGCTTCTACGACATTCGCGATCCAGATTTTGGACTAGAACACTTTCCTCAGATTGTGGCTCACATCTACGATGATGAAGAGGCCTATCAATTATTTCCCCATACTCTACTTTCACGTAAGCTTGCCGATCTGGTCCATAAATACGCTTTGCACGAGAACAACCTAAGCATCTGGAATAATTTTATTTTCGCTCCCTACGACCAATTATAACTTAAACTCATGAAAAAAGATTCCTTAGAAATTAGGTGATTACAAAATTGTTTTTAAAATTTTTCACATATATATATATATATATA